ACATATTATATCTAAATAGACGCCGCAAGTGTACCTATAGTCTGTTCCAATCCATTCTAAACAAAAAGTAAACAAACCTGTTTGGTTAAAATTCTAAAGCAATCACTCAATATATCGTATAAATGACACTTTGACGTATATTTCGAAGATTTCGACTTGATATCTCATCACTTTTTCCAACAACATTCATTTGAATAACATATTAATCTTTTAAATTTTTATTGAATTGATATTCAATTTTTTTTTGTGAAATTACTCCACTAGTTTGTTATAATTATTAATACAAAGATCGAACACTCAGAAAAAACTCCTTTGATCCGGCCGGTTCGAACCGACGTCTTCTAGCTTACCGTGGCAGACGCTATACCAACTGAGTGTTCGATCTTTGTATTAATAATTATATTAAAATCTTATTTGAAAAATGTTAGTTCAATAGTGAGGTTAGTAATCAAATATAGATTTGTGAATAGTCTATGGTTGCATAGGACTGTACGAAAAAAAAACATTCGGTTCATTCAATAAAAGTTTTTGTAATCGATTAGTAATTCGAAAATTTCAATCGCAATCGAACGAGTATCTAAGTATAAGGATTTGAAGGAGGTTTTAAAATTAAGATTTCGGAAATTTGAAATGTATGCTTTTATAGATTATGTATTTTCACTATTTTCATGTAAAGAAAATCGCTAGTATGAATATGACTCCATTAAACAAATCGATTCATAGAAGTAATTAATCGATTTGTTGTTGGCATTACAATTGGACGTAGTTCAACAAAATAGATCCAATGCACATCCAGTCACTTTCGAGATATGGTTGTTTGAAGTTTAAAAGTGTTTCTCACTTTTGTTTTATTTTCAAAACTTATTATGTCGTGTAACTCCAGAGATATAGTTTATTATTAGCTGCAAAAACACCACAGCTATTAATAGGTGAATAAACAGGGGCGTTTCCTTCCACACTTAGGTAATTTTGTAATCAGAACATGCAAAATTTATTTTAAAATCAATTATTTACATTTTGAATTAATTTCGAGAAAATAAATATGCATACGAGTGTATGCCGCGTGATTCGTAATACATTGCGGCTTTTACTTGGTGCGGTACTCTTGTGTACCTTCTAACGCCATGAATATCGAACGAGCCAATCTTTCGTATAATAATGCATTCGGTTTCGTGGTACGGCCGCTTCGTCATGTTTTTGGTCAAATTTTACGATTAGTGATGTGCACTTGATGTAACACAGTTCTCGATTCAAAGGAATAATAATTCTTAAGAAAATATAAAAATATTTTAGTTCGGTATTGCTTTTTTTTAGTTTTCCGGAACGTTTTATTTTTCAAAAAAAAACACGTATTAATTATTTATCTTATTCTGGTATTATTTTCTTTTCATCATCATTTCAGCTCTTTTCCACCCACTGCTGAATATAGGCCTCTTCGCTTCTGGGCCATTCTTTCCGGTTCCTTGCGAGTCGTGTCCAATGGTTCCCAACTATGGCCTTGTTGTCATCAATCCATCGGGCTTTTTGCGTCTTTTGGCCAACATTCGTAACGGCTTTCGTCCATCTTCCATCTCATGTTGAGTGTGTGCGTGTGCTATGTATTATCGTCCCTTCTAGCCAAGTGCCCCGCCCATCTCCACTTAAGCTTGGCTATCCTGTTACCCACGTCTACTACCTTTGTGCGACGTCGAATTTCTCATTGGGTATGTGGTCCGGCAGAGAAATTCCGAGGATAGCGCGCTCCATTGCCCTTTGTGTTACTCGAATCTTGCGCACGTATTGTTTCGTGAGCGGCCATGTATTATTTTAGTATATTAATATTTCACGGCTTCTTATAATGAACTAATACTTGAAAAATCATTATTAATACGTACTGCATCCGCGTTTTCGATTTAATCAATCGAAGGAGGTTTCCCATCACCAAATAGCGCTCATCATCGATGTCATCGGATGTACAAAAAATGTGGCGCGCTTAGTTTTCATACAGATCGCGGTACTTGCGATGTCTATTTAGATGTCTGTGCTATTATATCGTCGGTTTAAAGGTAAAACTAGAGATATTAAAAATTTTCGTGTTTTATTCCGTGCTTGTTTTGCTAGTAATATTGCCATCACTCCTAGAGAGATAGGTAAATAACGCAAACACGGTAATATAGATTCTAGTGTCTATTAGAATGTGTCTTTAATAACTCGAGTTTTGTATTTATTTTTACCGACCGTGATACATACTATGTTTTTCATCACATTTGCGAGGAAATAAATACAATATATGGTTCACAACACAACAATTATGGATTTGGCAAATGGCGGGTTTTTGTTTTTTTTAAAATTCTGTCATAGATAATAAACTCGATTTAAAAGTTGTAAAAAGCAAACACGCATACAGCCATGATGGATTGTAAAAAAAAGGTTAATTTTTGTACTAAAAAAAATAATTAAAATCAATTAAGAAATTCTTAATAATAAGTAATTAAGTAGTATGTGTCTGAACTGCAATAAAATTTCTGTTTAGATAACATTTTAAGCGAATGTTTTAATTTTGAACTTAAGTAACCTCCTTGCTTGAAGTTAAACCTGACCTATGTAAGGAAGTATGTCGTGCTACAAATTAAAAAAAAAAATCTTACCTACCATGGCTGTAATGGAAACAAAAAAGGCCCTTGGGTTTTATTTGAGGCATTATTGTCAAGTTAGCCCCCAAGCAGTCCTACTATTTATGAGCAAGTGTGATGAAAAAATGTTTTATTGAAGTTTTATGAAGTAACAGAAATAAAAATAATATTGTGCAGCAATAATGTATTTAAATAAAATTTAATATATTCGATATTGTGTCGGGTGATGTTACGAGTTTTTTTTAAATTATGAATTTTGGCGTGAATACGAGTCCTTTGAGCTATGTCTTCGTTTAATTATCGCGATCCTCAATAAATATTTTCCATTGTAGTTCTAATACATTTTGTTTTCACTTTCCCTTAAATAACTTAGATCTCTTGTTTGGGTTTTCTAAATAGTCTTTTAAGCGGCGTGAGCCAATATTTATGTTTTCACTTTCACTGAAATCACATTATTGTCACTGAACAAAAACTTTGAATTCGTAATTAGTGGAATTTTCAGGATAAATTTGTAGTTTGTGTCAAATAAGAACTATAGTTCTAACTTTCTTCGTCGCTATTTCTTTCTTTGTATTTCCTTCATAATATACTTAAAATAAAAATTATCTTTATAAAAACTGTACTTGTAACTTCAAGAGTCCGCTGTTGGTGTTCTAGCTCTCGTAGGATCTAAGATGTTCGGTGGACTGTATTTATTGAGGTTCTTGCTCTTCTCGGGATCAGGATCGAAAGAAACGCTTGTTCAACTGCTTACTGACTACTACGTTTATTGGCCGTAATGTTCTTACTTATGCCCTAAATAGTCTCTTATCTAGTAGAGGTGTCGCGAGTAGGCGACCGGCGCGTTGCGCGGCAACTCCGTACGACGCTGTGTGCGGGTTGTGGGGAACGGTGACACGTTCTCGGTTGAGGTGCGGGGCGCGGAGTGTTCTCGTGCGTAGCTCGGTGTTCTTAACACTCGCCATTTTGTGTTTTTGTGATGTTACGAGTAACGCTTCATTTTCCAAAGTGATGTGTGATGGCACATTATCCTGTCGCGTGATATCACAATTGTAACATTGCTTACACATCTCTAATAGCTAACACTTTTGTTTTTTTTAGGAACCAACGAGAGATGAAAAGCCATTGACGAAAAAGAATTCGTCATTGTTAATAACAAAAAAAGCCGACGGAACTTTAAGCAAGCCGATCGTGGTTGACTTGGAACGTGACAGTGAGAACGCTGGTGAAGAAGAAAGGGAGACCGAAGCGACGGAAGAGGAGAGCGAACGGGCGGCCTGGTGGCGGTACTTGTACCCTCCTTCTTATTTTGCGTAGATTGCTTTTTATACAGAGTTCTTTGTTAAGTACTAATAACCTTGCAGGACTATATTACTAACGTTATAAACAGTAACTTTTGTTCCCTGACTTTTTACAAAACTTAATAAATTTACTAAAAAACAAAAAAGTCGTTAAAAAACAAGAAACTAGACAAATTCGTAATGTCCACTGGTTCGTTCCGTGGCTTAGTTGGCATAGCTAACTTTTTCTATGTTCTTGTGTGTTAAACAAAAAGGATCCAGTGCATACCCAGTCACTTTCGAGATATGGCAGTTTGAAGTTTAAAAGTGTTTCTCACTATTGTTTTATTTTCAAAACTTATAATGTCATGTACCTCCAGAGATATTTATTTATGTTTATATGTTGGATTTTTTTTGCTGATCCAAGAGGTTAGACTGAACCGTTTGGTATATATAACTAATTTTTTGATAATTTTCTGGATTGGATCCTTTTTGCTTAACTACGTCCAATTAAGCTTTTCAATCGTTATTTGAAGCCTAAATATTTGAGAATAGCGTACTTGATTTCCTGTAGTGTATCGGTTTTAGCTCGAATTCCCCTTCTACATCCCCCACCACCTAGCTTCTGCTACTGTACACCAGGGATTGTGTTTTCGCACCCTGGCTCATTGGCGATTTGTTTCCCATAGTAGTCACTTGTGCCCAATTGCATATTACATAACTAGATATATACATAGTTATACGTTATACAATTATATATATTTTAATTCTTAACGGTTTGCTGTACTATCTGATAATTTTTAGATCTGTAATAAGGTCAAACGTGACAGCCTGTACTACGACGAACCCCACTTTCTGTTGTTATCGCACAGAGTTATCATTCGTTTAAAGCGATCTATTGAAATATTTTTATTTTTGTATGAAAGTAAAATTTGCCGAGTTATTAAAAAGTCATGGAACAAAAGTTGTTCTTTATGATATTACCCACGTAGGCCTGGCGAGGTGGGTAGTATTTTACAAATAACCTTGTGTAGTACCTATGCAGTGAGTTTTCAGTATATATAATAATTATTTTTATTATACAGGCTGATAAAAAATGACTGACCAATTTTTTTCCAGTACATAACATTCAGTAATAGAACACATTAGTGAAATAAAAAAAATCCCCATTTTTTTATGTTAATAATTCCCATTAATATCTAACGCGTGGTTACCTCAAAATAGTAAACAAAATTGAACAATCGGCGCCGAGTTGTCTAGACGCCTAGGCGTCAGGACGTCAGCCGCGCGACTGCGCTAACGCATCGCGCGTTAGTTTGTCACTTTTATTGTCATCAAATAATAATACTAGCGCGCTGACTTCGCCCACTGCCCCACACCGTTGTTGTTGCTATAGCAAATGTGTCTGTTAATTGTCGGGTGTCAATATTGTTCACAATTTTTCGGACAATTTTTCGTCATAACTATTTATTTGTTAAGTATTTGAAAAAAACCGAACATGTATGTTTTATTTCCATTATACAGTATGCTCCTTTAAAATGGTCAGTGTTTTTTATATAATAATATACAATAATTACAAGTGATTGTGACGAGCTTTACAATAAAAAAAAACACTAAGATGCCTACAGATTTGCTCACATGAATTTTGTAAACAACTGACGATTGGGATCGTATATCGATTGTTCAATAATCTCAGTATGAAGTACAAAAAAAAAGTAAGTAAAAAAACCGATCTCAAAAGTCATTCATCCCCTAGTTTGCCACCCTTAGAGGTGGAATATTTTCTTCAAATTTAAGTGGTACCCTTTTTCCAATAAAAAAGAATCATCAAAATCGGTTCTCAAATACCAGAGTTGTCGCGTAATAAATGTATCGAGTTCTGAATGCGTTTTTCCTATTTGACTTCACAATTACTTGGTATTAGAGACGTGTGCCGCGTCGCCGCCGTCGCCGATGTATTTGGTCGGCGTAAAATTGGCGTAGCGGAAAATTTTTATTTTAATTGAGTATTTATTAACTTGGTTAATTATTTATTATTTCATAAATAAATAATTCCGTGTATCTCTCCCATCGTATGATCTAAATCCTCGCGTAAAAAAACTCATATTTTTTTTATACTAAAGCTCGTTTCTTCTTCGACTCTGATAACTCAAGGCAGGAGGTACTTGAAATAAACGTTACATTGTAACGTTATTTTTGTACCATCGTTATTCACGTCAATAATATATACTTTGGATGTTCACTAGAGTTATAATTATAACATTAATAACACATAACGTTACATTTCGTCAAATCGTTATAGTGGTATTCGTTACTGAAATTTTTATACGGTTTTTTTTTTGATGTTCATATTATAACGTTCATACACTTTAAATTAATAATAATAACAAATGGTTTTTGTATAAAATCATATAAAATTAAAGAAATATATTCCCGGACAGATAAAAAGAGCCACCTTTCATTTTTATTCTTAAAACACTTGAATACAAAAATATTGTTACCTTTTGAAGATAACGAATTCAAATCATTTTCATTTCATAGGTAAGCACTTGAAATCGCGTCATACTGATTATACTCTACCGCTCATTTGTAAGGCAGATTCCCCTGAGAAGAATGAGCAAGAAACTCTAGGGGTTGCTTTTTGTAAAAAATACATTTGAATAACACCTTACATCGAGAATAGATGCAAGAGCATCGAAGAATACAGTTTTTCCCGGTTTTTATGATTTCAAAATTTTCAACAACGACATACCGTAGCGGTGTTTTTTGTTGAAAGGGCTTGGGCTAGGGCTAGGATTTGAAAAATTTTTGAAGAGGAGCATGTTTTACTACTGCATTTTTGTAATAATAAATTTCTAATCTTATTAATTCTCACGTTACTGTTTGGCGACCGAAATAGGAAAGGTAGGCAGTAGATACTTCCCTGGACGAACTCTTTCACAAGGAGCTTTTACTATTAGTAAATAAATGCGTAAAATTGTTTAAGCTTAGGCCATTGAATGCTGAAAATGCAAGGTGTCTCGAATTATGTGTCCGGGAGTGTAATTTGGACCTTATTTTAGCTATATTGTGATATATATAACAAAAATCTTTTTGACCTCAGGTCAATTGCACTGGGTCCGAAGTCTGCTAATTTTTTGAAACCACTAGTAATAGTAATTCCATTGCGACTCCACTGAGATTCCACTAAGGTTACATTGCAATTATGATAATACCTCGCTGAGGGTAGAGAAATTTTCATAGATTTACTACAGATGGCGCTACGGCAAAAACAAATCGTTAAAAACAGAAAACAAATATTTGCATCAAACACGTGAAAAAATTCGTGAGGTCAGTTGGTTCGTTCCATCGAGTATATAACCAGAAATAGAGACGAAATGTCATTTAATTTGTTTGAAAAGTATTCTGCCAAATTATTACCGTGACAACTGCGCTCCGATTGGCCAGCCCGAATTCGAAACAATTGACGGGTATCGTCAATTGTTTCACTTCAGTGGATCAGTTTAACTCGAGCTTTGCAATAATGGACCAAAATTGCAAAATATACATAAATTTAATTACCGATGAAATGTGATTCCGTTTGTTTTGTAATTAGATGTTTTAGCTTTTTCTCCCACACTACCGAACGGAATAGCCCCCATTATTAGAGATATTATCTTTATTACAATAAATACGGAATACTTTTGGAATATACGGAGACGTACAATCAGGTCAGTTGTTGGCGCTGTACTGTTTCAGTTTTCTAATTTGTGATTTCAGCGCAAACGAGAGTTAATATATAAGGCCAATGTACCTAATGAGTTGCCAGGGATGGATGGCCCTTATTTCGTCTCTATTTCTGGTTATGTACTCAATGGTTCGTTCTGTGGCTTAGTTGGCATAGCCTCTGATACGGTTTAACGGGAGACGTTGATTCGAATTTAACCGGATCGAAGTAAATATTTTTCTAAGTGTTCGATCGTTGTTTAACTAGTGGAGTGGGTCACGTCTGCCGCATATCACACGAGTCGTGGGCGAAGGCCACCACAGAATGGATCCCCAAAGATAGAAGACGACCATGCGGCAGACCAAAGCGTCGGTGAAGAGACGAGTTAGACGCGCACCCAAAAATCTGGATCTCAGTGGCGCAAAACAGGCTATACTGTCCCACTGAGGCTTTAAAAAACTTTATTACAATTATGATAATATTTTTTGTTTTTGTTGTTGTGCTAAATTCTAGTTGGAATGGCAGTTGAGTCTCAAAAGGGTGTCAGTGGAATGGCGCTTATGTAATTCAATAATTAACTATCGATGTTGCCTTATTAAACTACTTAATTTTTGTCTCGTTTAACGCGCAAATTAGTGTCAAAATTATAGTAGTTTATGTGCCTATTACATAATGAAAGGCATAATAGTACGAGCGAGGTTTATCACATCACACGAGTGTTTTAATGCCTAATAATGTACAGTTACATACACTGCTGTATCTGCGCACATATTATAAATTCTCTTTGTGATGTGCTCAGGAATCGCATGTTGCGACTCACGAAATGGCGGCAAATAAAAACTTTTCTCAAGCACGTCACACAACCATAGTTTTTATTTTTAATTCATAGACAAACGAGAATCGGCCCCAACTATCATATCGTTCGATATTAAGTAACATGTGAAATTGTCAAAATTGTTTGCTATTGACATTTTATTTTGAATGAAACTTCATCTCGACTCATGTTAGAATTGAGGTCCAATCAAATTGTTTAGCTTTTCAGAGATGTTCGAAATTTGAATGTAATAATAACATCGAATTTCGATGTTATTATGAAGCAATAATAACATTTTCACAGATAAGAAATTTGTTCTAACAAAACAGTTTACCTTTATACTGATCGTAATTTGCGGATTTTTAACACATTATAAAGAGTTTATGATATGTGTGTAGATAAAATATATATCGAGCCACTGACAATCGACTATTCTTGACTTTGAGCAGAATACCAAACGTACAAAATCTTGCCATTGACACTCTGTCTGAGATGATATTAGCAGACTTGAAGCCCTGGATGAAGACGTCCCGGGTTTGATTCAATTTGGGAAATGACACTGAATGGTATGTCGTGCGGGAAGGCTCCTTTCGTGCACCCCATCATGCAATAAATACGATTTACTTGTTTCAAATCCGACATGAACAAAACTTTCGTTTACATTTTTTAGGAAATGTTTCGACGATAGCGACTGGTTTTTCTAACCAAGATCAAACAAGCGAGGTTAGTTCATATTATGTCACTATTTTTATGTAGAAAGAAAATGTTGAATTTCTTTATTATATAAGGTCGCGAGTTTCTTTGAAGTGTCTCGGTTTCATATAACGGAGTCGGCCTTATATAGTAAAAGAAATAATATGTAGATTGGTGTTTCTATTTTTGTTGGTGTAAGCTGACGGCAGAGCGTAGAAATTCGTGCTATAAACTATTGCGGTCCTTGGTAATCTTCGGTTAAAAAGAATAAAGTTAAAATGAAGTTTAGGTAAACAAAGTTCTTTATTTCGATTTTTCGTAATAAATTTAAAAAAATACTCTTTCTCTCCATTCCGTCTATTATCCAATTATCCTGTTACACTCTTTTCGTTTTTGTCATTCGAATAAATTCTGTCATAAATTTCTTCAATTTCCATTCAGTTTTGCAGGCTATAGGCCACATTAAAGATTAGATACCAAAATAGTTCACGGATTTATACGCTCTATAATTAAGGCCCATTATCTCCCAAAGTGGTGCGTACAAGTGTTACACCACCAATAGCATTGAGTTGTTTTCTACGCCTCTCAGCCAAAATTACAATATGCTATTAGTGTTAAATAATGTTCTCGGGTGCGATTTGGTAGAAAATTACTTTATGGGCCTTATTATCCGTCTGTTACGAAAGTAGATCAAAAACCTGTTGGAGTAACATAGTATCTTATTCGCATAAGTGTCCTAGTTACACATCCTACATTCAATTATTATTTTTTAAACTCAGTGTTGCCAAGATCTTTTTGGATTTGTTTTACGGCACTTATATAGTCATTGAATGACAAAAACCCAACCCTCCTGTTTTTGGGAAATGAATGTGCAATCGCAAAACAATGCAATTATACATTAAGTGTTAATTAATGCAAATAATTATATTAAGTTTGGTTAAAATTGTTGAAAGAATGGTAGAATACCTAGTCTGTATGTTTAGTCATTGTAGTGTAAGTGATAGTGTGAGTTACTTTTGTGTAATATCTATATCTTGTATTATTTTTAAATATGTACGCCTAATTAAAACAAGTGACGATTCTGTTTATATTAAAATATAAATAATTTCACCGTCATCATAAGGGCGCATATATTCGATACGAATTTCATCGCGCTTATCACCGAGCGGAGTCCGCGTGCGTCTAACTGTCATGGCAAAACGCGCTCTATTTGTTTAGCTTTTACGTTTTAACTTACGCGGCGGCCGCGCGGTTGTATTATTCAGACGAATTTAAGTGCTGTTGCGTTGTAAATAGAATTCAGATACGTGCTTTCTCCTCGTGTAATTGGGCGCTAAAGGTTGCCATGGGTGCAATGTGTTGCTTCGTGCACAATAGAGAAAGAGACGAACAAGTCGTGCGCCTGGTGATAAGCGACACGCCTGTACATAGCAGTTGCAGTGTCACTCAGAGCTTTAAACTGCAAAGATCTTAGGGGCACTGCCACTACGCCCGTCAACTTGGTACATAAGTTGTCAAGTCCCTTGTCACCCTTACCCTTTCAAATCGGAACGCAGTAATACATTACCATATTACATAACTTTAGATATCGTCTGGGATAGTGCACATCCCCGTTAAGTAGTATTGGTAAAGGCGCGTATCTGCACCACACAAATTAACAAATATTAAACCACGTACAATTAGGTTGTGGAATAAACTCCCTGTGGTGGTTTTCCCGCAGAAATACAGCATGGAGTCCTTCGAAAGGGGTTTGAGAAGGGTCCTAAAGGGTCGGCAACGCGCTCTTGACGCCCCTGGTGTTGCAAGCGTTCATAGGCGACGGTAACCGCTTTCAATCAGGCGGGCCGTATGCTTGTTTGATGCCTACATAAAAAAAACATAGTAACTGCCTCCGTAACCGAACGGTTACCATGCCGGGCTGCCACGCTGATGTTCCAGGTTCGATTCCCGGGCCGGGAGAAATGTTTGTATGGACTACATTTATTTCACTCGTGAGTTTGGCTGTAATTTGTGGTTGTCTATGTGTGTGTCCAATGGCACCCGCGACACAGGGTTTTCCCTAGTGTGGGGCTATGTTGAGTGTGTGCGTTATTATTATTATTAAACTTCACATGAGTGGGATTTAACGTTATTACTTTGTTATTTCAATGGCTTCGACTTCAGTTTTGCACAGTAAGCTTTAATTTATGTTGTCTACGGACTGATAATAGATTCCCGTAAAACGCTTATTTGGTTGCCCCGACATTTCCGTGGATGTGATTTGGCGACTAAATGACCGAAATGGAGACTCATAATCAAATGTTAGTTACGCGTGATTGCACTATTATACGATATAAGATTAGAAAATAAAAGAATCGTCACTTGAGTTATAATGCGCTGGTTATGTTTACTTTTAATTTTAACCTACATAATTGTTGTAGAGCAACGCGTACAAAAATGAGAATAACACGACTCATGCCGCCTTCAAGATAACAAATGAACACCTAAGGACGTGAATCAAAATTGCGTGAAATGGAAAACAACAGACTTTGAAATTCTTATATGTGAAATGAAAAATTCAATTTTCTTTGATTTAAAAAAATCGGACTCATTTGCGTTTTTTGTTTACCCCGACGTTTTGGACGTGTTGCAACGTCTATGGTCTCGAAGGGGCTGAAGAGGTATATGTCATCTTCTAGCAATCTGCGAGGTTTTCTTACTATGCCCTTAGTTTTCATTATTTATTTATGCACTAGAATTGTCCATAGTGGACGTTGCAACGCGTCCGAAACGTTCAGGTAAATAAAATATTTACTCGCGATTAAGTCTCGATTTTATTTAAATCAAAGAATATGAGAAAACTGAAAGTTTATTTTTATATTATACTATAAAAAAATGCATTTTAATTTTAATTACGACATTGCTTTTTATTAAATAACGCTCAATAATTACGATATTTACCAAAATTCAATTGCACAACATTGCACAGCATACTATTTAATAATGTAATCAAAGTCTGTGTTTTTCAATTTTATTTAAAAATATATGTATAACGCCCAAGTTTAATGCCGTCTTTACACCCGCGGTTCTTATCGAAATGGAAAAGTGGACTTTATTTTATACATATTAAGATTACGGACGTGATGGTAGCGTGAGCTGCAAAACAATAACTTTTTAACAAATGTATGTTTTAGACAATCATTACGAAAGATGACCTCTTTTGATTATTTTTATGTTATTTTATTTATAATAAAATAATCATATTGTTAAACTTTACATAATTTTAGGCCGTGTGTAATAGACCGATAAATTGTATGATCTTACGTCATGGAGAATAGATAACCATTTTGTTATTGCCTCGTATAGTGTGTACAAAACTTTAAGGCGCGTTCAAATTAGCGCTTGTAGGAGTGCTATAGTCGGGCCACCAAACACTTAGTTATGTTCCGCCATTTGTAATCGTCGCATGGTTTGATTCATATATAGACATGACCACGTACCAAAAATAGTGTACACAGCATGATAAAATAAGTCTCTCTTCCTAATAATTTAATAGTATATAGTACTTCATTCAAACAGCCATAGGTAAAGAAATAAAATTATAATAATATAAGGGAAACTCTAACGAATTAAAACACGAAGGAAAAAAAAATATTCTGACGAAGAAGCCTTACTTTTACTTATTTTGTGCTCAAAATCAAAAGATTATTTAGTAGGTCAGATACCTTAGAACACAGACTTTACACATACAACGTATAAAAAATTACTTACCTGACCGGTTATTCCATTAGCAGACATGGTGTCCAGTGGCGAGGCGTGAAAATTGTTGTTAGTAAATCCGGAGCAAAACAAGAAACAACTACCTTAAGAAAAAATGACGCCTTGGCGACACTAAATCACACCTTATTAGCACACAAGGTACTAGTACACTTCATTTCACTGGTTAATTTATTGTACACTTAAAATTTAGCACAAAATGTAGTATTTGATAATACGTGGAAAATTTTAGCAAGCCGGTGAAAATCGAGTTATATGGACGCCTCGCCACCGATGGTTTCAAACCTATTTATTTTCCAATCGATACTGCAATCTCTGATCAGTTCCATGCTGCAAGATACAGTTCGTTTAAATTTTTCATGAAATCGTCTATTTGACTTTCATCCATCGTGGTCAAGTAATAAAATAAAACGCGTTTCTAGAAATTGTGTAAAATTTTATAGTGGTGCTACAGACGCGCGACTCACCGTTTCTGCGAGCGTCTAATTTAAACGTGCTCAAACAAAAAATAAGTCGCTTGTACGTTCGGTGCTTGACATTTCATAGATAATTATGTGTCAGACGAAGCAAGGCTAATGCTAACTGCACAATTAATAATAATTATACGGTTTTTAAATCCAAGATTCGGTGTCATTCGAATTTTATGGAACAGGTGAATATAATTCAAAATATGGTTACGACATTCTGATACCAACATGTAAAGAAAATAATGCTGCAATTAAAATATAGAACGTCACTGAGGAAATGTAAGAGAAAGTTGAACTTATGTTTGATAGACTAAGGTAAAGTTTTCATTGCAGTAGCGAAATGATAAGAGCAAGAATTGCATTGTGATATTAATACGCTGTAATGAAATAAAACGCCGAATAGCTCCGAAGCTTGGAATTTTGAAAATGGAAACGAGAATTAATTCGAAATGGGTTTTGTGTATTTTAAATACCAGCCATTTTCTCCATGTGCGTGAGAAGTTTGATTATTCGTAGGTAGTTGTGTATGTGAAACGCTTAAATTTCAAGGTATAAGTGTAATGGACAAATTGACCTTTAGCCAAAGATCTACTGACGAAACAACGTGTTTATTTAAGGCTAAGTCTAGCCTGATGCGTGAGCCTGAAATTTCTAGACACGTACTTACATGACAAGTTTTAGGAGATTACCACAGTATTTACAGACCACGAATGAGAACTGTATTAAAGTAAATTCAATGCTTTTTGGAGTACCCCATTTATTGACACGGAATCGTATGGACCCTATTAGAAAACGCTTTAAGTCCGTGGGATAAGAGATAAAATTCCCGCGCTGGAAACTTCCACCGCCGCCTCTGTGTGGCCTGAGCATAAGTTAACAAACAATACGAATAAAAAAAACTTGACTAAATAATTATGTAACGAATGAATAATAAACATAACAGGTAACATATGCGCTGTACTGTTACGGAATCCATCATCCACTCGGCGCATTTCGTTTAGCGTCGTCGGTCCGAGGAAATGCGCAACGTCCTTTTCGCATGGCATGTTTACACAAGGTCGACTGTCGCCTCAGAACGAAAAAAGGCACAAGTGCTGTATAAAGTACGCTTAGTTGTGACTTTTTTCGTTACGAGTGTTGCCTCTTCGGTAAGAAAATTCCGCTAAGAAAGGCGATTCAATCTCTGCGATGTTTATACCTAGTCGATTGCCACCTTCGCCGAAATATCCAAATCATTATAAATACAAGTTTACATAACAAATCGTTCGATAAGTTGTTGAAGTGTTGCCAGGGCCCTTAAGTAAAAAATTACGCTTTTTTACCTAAAAAGTTGTATTTTTGGTGCAAATGTTACATTTTCGTTTTTTAATCAAAAACTCCAAGTGTAAACGATATAATTATTATACGCGTGAATCTTAACAATAATAAAGTAGATACGTTCAAGAAAAGTTCTAATAAGTCATCGCCAGCTCGGAGTTATTTTATTATCTAATTTGGGTGCGTTCATTATGTAACTATTTAGGATTTTTAAAGACAAATATTAAATTCATCGTTCTCAAAGGTTACGAAAACTGTCTTAAAAACAAAAGCTATTAAGTATTGCGCGAGAGGGTCATAAGTTACGAAAAATGTAAGAAATGAAACTACTTGCCAATACTGGATCGGGTGGGTAGATATTCCCCGGCCCTCAGCACGCGCATCGTGGTAAGGCGGGAACGCCGACTTACACCTTCTACGGCCGTCAAACGACTCGGTGCACAAAGTATACTAATGCCATTTAGTTTAAAAAAAACGATCCAGTGTTTACACGCGGTTGGCACGCGTAGGCGACATGTCGACCTAGTGTAAACGCGCCATTATTGATGGACGTTAACATTTTTCTGCCGATTCCATGTGAATAACTGTGGTGACCCTTCAAACTAATTTTGGTACAACACGGAACACAAGTCCAGTAATTATATCTATGTAACGGTAAAAATATTACTGTTTGATAGTTTGTTCCTCATAGGTTCGTGGTATAAAGAAATGTTATTGTATCGCTTTCGCTGACGTAGAAACGTAAAATGTATACGTCCAAACTAAACAGGGGCCATGTCATCTATTGCCATTCATTGCAACATTTTGCATCGTTACAACGTTGTCTTGCAACATTTGTACATAATCATTGTCAAATGTGAATCATATACGCCCCCTTTAGCACGACTTAAAGTAATTTACAATATTGATGTAAAAATGTTGTTTACACAGTTCCACCTTGAATGAAATGTTCTTGTAAATAAATATTTTTTGATGTAATTGAAAGTTATGCCGTTGTATAAGGGACAATATAAGTCATCCGACTGCATTTACATTATTTTTACATCATTTGAGTATACAATATTAACTAATTAAGGACAAATATTTAAAAAAAGTGTAAAATAAAAACAATATTTGAAAAGAATCGGAAAATGTATTTATTGTATTAAAATTCTAAACTTAAAATAGTTTTGGTACTCGATATTTGCTTTAGTCGTGTTTTGGATGTATCTTTGAAAATACTGTAAGTATTCAGTATTTAAAAAAAAGAATCGCCCCATTTAGGATTGGACTTGATTGTCAGCTAATATTAGCTTAGGCTGTAACTCGTATAGATGGTAATTTTGCTTGAATGACAGTATTCACGATATGGTATTGCATATAAAAATTAAAGCACGTATTCAATAAATGGATGTGCAATACATAATGACATATTTAAGTGGAATTACAAAAACAAATATTATGCAGGACGAAGCTCAAATTTACATAGTTTGTTTTAACTGCTTGTTGTAAACAAAAATCCTATAGTGCCTCGCCGTTCAACGTTGTAACAAATATTTTAACGAACGTATTGTAATACTGGGAATTGTGCGGGAGTATTACGAGGCATACTAATACATTAATATTATTTTTATGCACAATGCATTACACATATCATATGAAATAATCATTGCATTAAAAAGTTTTCAATTTTATATTTTAAAAAACCATTCATGTCATAAAAGTTTTTAGGTTCTAATATTATGATAATTTTAGGCCAAAGTTTTTTCTGTAAAATGCATTTGAACGTGGTTGTTGCGAAAATGTAATAATGCTAAACATTTATTAAATATTGTTACTAAAATAAAAATACTTTTTGAAAGAGGATGTGTTTTTTTTTAAATTTATTCTTTGGATCATTTATTAAAACGACCCTTGAATTTTTTTTTATATCATATCAAATGACGGGACGAACAAGTCGTGCGCCTGATGGTATGCTACGCGCCTGTCCATAACAGTTGCAGTGCCACTCTAAGCTTTAAATCGCAAAGATCTTAGGGACACTGCCACTGCGAATGGAACAGCCCCCATTGTTAGAGATTACAATAAATACAGAATATTTTTGTAATATACGTATTTGTAATATACACACAAGTCAAGTTGTTGGCGCTGTACTATTTCAGTTTTCTAAATTTGTGATTTCAGCGCAAACGAGAGTTGATATTTAAGTGATACAAGGCCCATTTGCCTGATGAGTGGCCGGGTATGGATGGCCATTATTTCGTCTCTTTTTCTGGTTATGTACTCGCAGTGAGCGTTTGTATACTCGTGGATACATATTATAAAAATTGCTCTAATAGTTTTAACAGTCTAGTGACAGCTCCTTACTACGTAGTTGAGTAATGTGTCAATTTGAGATGGAGCCTTAGTATATTCCCATGAGTTTCCATTCTGCCCATGGACGTATTATTCTGCCACATCTAGTGAACATGGCGCATACAAATATAGGTTTTTTTTAATAGGGATGTAACAATTTTGCATTTCAATAAAACACAATAATTGAGATATCGAGCTGAAATTTATTCCAGGTGCAGTACCTATACATGTTACATTTAAGGATGGAATTTGATCTCGTTCATATGATCGAGCACATTTGCAGCGTTCAATTCTTTGGAGCCAATTTTCCACCACTTTTCCTCACATATCGGACGAAATGTTAGAAATTTCGTGTTTGATATTGTTCCTGAGCTCATTTAACGTTGTGCCACGTTGTTGGCATACACCAACGACTAAACTTAACCCCATAAAAAGTAATCCAATGGCGTTAGATCGCATGAGCGAGGTGGCGATTTGATTGGAGCATTTCGCGACAATACGCGATTATCGAACTTCCTTTTCAATAGATCGATTGTTTGACTAACAGCAAACGTGCTCGAGGTGGTCATATGAACGAGATCAAATTCCGAAAGAGACATAAGAATCGACATATTTAACTGACGAAGAACTCGTTGGAGCGTTGATTTTGATTGTGTCGCCATTTGCACGCCCAGTTCCAACAGGACATGCCCGCCCACGGCTCATCCGTGTAGAACACTTGCCCGTTTTGGTACATCTGTGGAAAAAATAAATATTACACAATTTATGAAATGAAATTTTTTTCCGGATTTAAATCGCGTATATTTGTTTTTTACAAACCGACGTTTCGGGCCCTTTACAGGTTGACTAAGGTGGTACAGTCATCAACCAGTTATGTCTAATATTAATTAAAATTAAGACTGTACCACCTCAGTCAACCGCGGCTATGGGACCTGTAACGGGCCCGAAACGTTGGTTTGTTTGAAAGAACAAATATACGCGATTTAAATCCGGAAAAATAGTTTCATTTCCTATGTGTAACAATGGCGAAAACCTAAGAACTCGATATTATACAATTTTACAAACAGTAAACCTTCTGTAAATTTCTGACATTAAAGATGCCGTAGTGTGCCGTTACGTTTCTACGTTCCCACCGGAAAGCAATGGAGCGAAACAGATTCTCCGACTAATAAGTTTCTACGAATTCGACGTAACACTTCGCCTACCTGGGCGGAGGGTATCCAAAACACTATATTCTTTAAAAATATATGTATACAAGGGCTTCTGTCTGTGCAGAAATGAAGTTAGATCACCTAGCAACATTAAATAAAAAAATTAAGATTTAAATTTTTCATATAGTGCAATACAGACAGCCTCTGTATAATTACTTGGTGTTTACTATACACTCCGGCCGGTGCACACATTGTCGATCCGATGCCGCAAGCAAATAACAATAGGTGAAGACTGCAAATCAGCAATGCGGAGTTTCTCTTCCTTTTTAAGTTTTTCCTTTTGTTTTAATTGTTCGCTTGCATGTTATTATGCTTATGTGTTTTGTGGATAAATAAATGTCTTTTTATGTTATTTCTGACGTTAAAAAGGCTATATATTAAAAAAAAAGCCGTTAAAAACCAAAAAACAAAGATCTGCAACAAGCACAAAGAAAAATTCGTAAGGTCCTCTGGTTTGTTCCGTAGCTCAATTTAAAGAGCGTTTAGCACGGTATGCTGAAGGCGCTGGTTCGAGTCCAGCCTGAGCGAAGGAATTTTTGTTAGTGCTTGATTGATCTTTGTATTCATTTTAGGGTCCTAACTACCTACATACTAAATCTATGGTCCTAACTGAAAATCAGTGCTGGAACGCATCGCGTTTTCCAGCAAATACTGAGTTAGTGATCCTTTTGTTACCGCGTCTGGCACCACTCAAAGTATTTCTATACTTAGTGTGTTATATTTAATTAAATAATATGTGGTGTAATTTACTTTTCGTTTTGTTTGTGATTTTCTTCTTATTTATTTGTGTCTTAAGTATGAATGTTTTATTCGTATTCTAGTTTTTCACAACAACACAGAAAGAAAAAAGAAAAACAAGAAACAAGAATAAAAGAAATATCTTTTTATTTCTTTTTCTGGGCTGTTTCTTTTTATTTTATTTTTTATTCGTGGGTGGTGTCATTTGAGGTGTGCAAGCAAATGTATTTTCTTTCTTTCTAGCAATGGTGCGAAAAATACTTACAAAAGAAAGATCGGAGCTCTTGTACTGCACGCCATCATAACCGAAACGCAGCACGAAGTTCATTGAGAATATCGAAAAGATGCAACGGACGTCAGTCGTGGCGGGAATGAAATAGCGGTATGGGCCACACCAGTATGACACTTTCGGCTCGTATTCTACAGACTCGGGGAATTCTTCACGAGGATTTATTCTGGACATTGTAATTATTCGTTAAATTAATAAAAAATATATAGTAAAAACTGTGGTAGTCTAACGCTTTGACCTAGCAGCAGCGGCACGAGCTTGTGTGATAAACATAAATCACTTGATTGGTACACACACTTTGGGGGTTAATAACGTTCATAATAAATCTCACTGAGAATTAACTTATAACAATGGGAGTTTAGTCATAAAACGCCGCGCTGGCCAGTGCGTTGGCAGGTGCGGGGCTGGGCTCACCTAGCAAGTCAAGGTGGTAACAGGTGGAGCAAGGCATCGACTGATTGGTGGCCGAGGTTGGGCAAAAGAAGCGTCGGGCAAGGGTGTTGCAAGGTGGGTCGACGACATAGTACGCGTCGCGGGGCAGCAATGGATGCGGCTAGCACGGGACCGTGGTAGATGGCACAAACTTCGGAAAGCCTATACCCAGCAGTGTGTGAATTCACGCTGTCGTTGATGATGATGGGAATTAACTGCTTTCACGAATCACTAAGGCTCAATTTACATTGCAGCGGAACGGCATGGAAGTAATGTTTTGTAACCATATTGCATAATGATGTTTGTCATCACGATGTGTTTCTTCACCGAAAAGCTCATGTTAAATTTCAAACATAAATTACGAGAAACTCAGTGGCAGTTATAACATCAAGTGACGGGACGAACAATTCGTGCGCCTGATGGTAAGCGACACGCCTGCCCAGTATTGCAGTACCACTAAGAGATTTAAATCACAAAGATATCTGAGGGGCACTGCCGCTGCGCCCGCCACCTTGAGACAAGTTGACAAGATCCATGTGCCTGTAATTTCACCAGCACCGTAATGCTGACATTACTGCTTGGCGGCAGAAATAGGTAAGGTGGCAGTAAAATTTTCGAACGAAACGAACCCTCGGCCTCTGATTGAGAGGCGGTTGGTCAATCTATTAGGCTACCACTTCACTAATGATTAACAAAACTAAGGAATATTTACTTGTAAATACATTGTGCGTCGGTCCAGCTATCGTCGGATTGACAGTACAGTCCTTGACTCGGATCTTTGGCTTGAAACTGTTCCGCGTGTGGACCGACGTATGATGTTTCCGAGTGTCGGTGATAAAAACCGATAAAGGCGAATGCACCTAGAAATAATAAGAGAAACACAAGTATTGTTATGTATATATATATTCTTTTTTTATAACACCAAGTGACGGGGCGAACAAGTCGTACGCCTGTTGGTAAGCGACACGCCTGTCCATAACAGTTGCAGTGCCATTTAAAGCTTTTAATAGCAAAGATCTTAGGTGCACCGCCACTGCGCCCGTCTAACGGAGGCATAAGTAGACAAGTCGCATGTACTTGCCTGTAATTTCTCCAGCACCCTTACCCGTCTAAACCAATACACAGTAATACTCACATTACTGCTTGCCGGCAGAAATAGGTAAAGTGGCAGTACTTCCCTGGGGTTACCTATCAGTAGTCTGAAATGACATTTTCCAGAAATACCGTTTGCTCGAATTTTCATAACCTCGAAAGTAATTTTGAAAGGAAAATGTTTTTCTTTTAAACCTAACTTAACCTAACCTAACAGAACTTAATCGTGTCCTTGCGATAAACATCCAACATGTCTTGAAAGAACAATGGATTCGTTATAATTCGGTTTTCCGTGTAATGAACATTCGAACAAACGTTATTTCGGAAAAAGAAATTCGAGTTCGTTACCCTTCCCTGGACGAACTCTTTCACAAGAAGCTCCACTGCTACTAAAACCCGGGCGCTTGCCAATCTCTGCTCATTAGGTACCTATTCAAAATCGAGTATTTTGCGTTGTGTCACTATCATCCTTCTCAGTGTGTGATATGTAAACGTTACCTCTGAATGTATAACAGTGTGGTTTTCGTTCACTGGCGAGAATCATTTGCACGTCTTCTTGATTATGCGCGGACGCGATGTAGTACGATGTGCCCAGACA